ATCTAGGTTGTGAACCAACGATTCTTATTTCGCAAGTAACTGATATAGTGATCTTCAGTACGCCCGATGACGACCCACTTATCTACATGCAAAACAACAGAACGTGGAACTTATTTAACCAAGCATAATTCTCATTCATCAAGGAATAACAAGTATAATATCCACTAAAGCAAAGCTTAAGTATATAACACCAACACCAACATGGAATTTCGATGAGGCTTTGTGATTATTACACTAAGGTATAAAATTCAAATCGAAATATACTTTATTTTATACATTTCCACTATGGTGGTTATACCAAGTGAGAGATTGTTATATTTTGGTTAAAATAAAGTTAAATGGTAACATGCATATGTTACATGTTACACATTACATCCATGAGTGCAGGATGAAGTTTCACAAAGTTAAAACTTATTGATTAAATTACTTTATATTAATTAAACATAAGTTTCATATTGAGTTTAATGGTTGTTCACTCAACAAGATGAGTTGAGAACATTAAATAATCTTTCTTACTCTTGTAACAACACATGACAAATGACACCTATATATACTTCTCTCCTTTATGAAATCTTATGAAGAAAGTAGAATGCTTGATCAATCCCAAAACTCATTTTCATTTTATGTGTTCCCTAAAGATTTCCAAGAGATGAAGGAAATAAAGTTTTTAGACAAAGTTCCAAAGAACTTATTTGAGCCTTGTGTTATATATTATTATTCTTCAAAGAAATATTGAATAAAGAAAATTTGAGTTTTGTTGAGTGTCTCTTTCTCCATTTTTAGCTATTTTTTCCAACACTTTAACCATTATTTTAGTATTGAATATACTCTACTCTAAAGTAGAGTAAAACAAAAATTAAGTTATCGTGAATCATTCGTGTTACATTTGACTACATATCAAATATTCTTCTTCTATCTTCTTTACTTTCATTTATTTTAATATCAAAATATAATTAGATATATTATTTATACATATTTGTATATCCAAATTATCAATACATAATTAATAATTATAAATAAATACAACAATATTTATACAGATATCATTTCAATAAAATATATTATTTTTATAATACTACATTTATTTCACACTAAATAAAAATATTTTTTTTGATTATTATATTAAAATAAATAAAAATATAAAAACAAAGCAAATGTAAACAATTGCATGAATTTTGAATTTCCTTTCTAGAATAGTGTATGTGAATAAAATTTCTCCATATATATCGCGTTGGAAATAATCTTGTTGTTTCATACATCGTTGTGTTTTTTTTTTAATACTCTTTACAAAAAACGGCATGAAATTTTATAGAAATTTAAAATTCAAAAGGCTAGTGAAATGATCTTTTTACAAATAAGTTAACTAACTATTTTTTTTTTTTTTTTTTTTTATAATAACTAACTATTGAATTTGATTAGACAAATCTACAAATCATGTTAGAATCTGCTAATCAAACAAGTCAATAGTCCATGAGAAAAAATGATAATGATTTATAAATAGCTTCTATTTGTTCTATATATGGGAAAATATTCACTTTCCAAATAATTTATACTGCAAGTATGTAATCACATGTAACTACATATGTTAAAAAAATTCATTTTTTTTTTTCAAGTGTTTTAAAAATTCCAATTTGATATGTAATATACTAAATTAAAACATTAATTTTGGAAACTCCAAAATCATCTCAATTTTTTCCAAATTTTAAAAATAAACCGAAAAAAGAAAAAAAAAAAGCCATAATATTAAGTGTATCTCAAAGCCGAGATTCAGGTTTTAATACTCCCAAGATATTTATTAAGAAAAACTCTCCTAATCTCATACAAAATAGAAATATTTAACTTAATCCAAAATCCACGTGGCACAAACCCACTAGCAGACCACCAAAAGCGTCCCTACACCCGCGCGCAAACAATCCGAACCCGGCAAACACGTCCTGGGCACGAACCAATAATAAGCCAATAATATTAACAAAACATTGTAACGCTGGCTGCACAACTAATGTTGACAATTTATTTATTTATTTATTTATTTTTATTTAATTTTAATTTATTATTATTATTATTTTTTTTTATCCCAAGTTGTGCGTGTGTTTATATATACGTGCATTTAAAATCGTTGAAAGGGTTGTGAGGGTGACGACGCAACCAAAAAGACAACTCTGTTTTTTTTGTTCTCGTCGTCTTCGTTTTTATTATTAAGTTTTCTCTGTAATTTTTCTACCCTTTCAGATTATCCTTAAACTCCGGCGAATTATCCGATTATAAACTCCGGCGAATTATCCGATTAAGGTTCTTATAGTGCCTTGTCTGCGTGGGATTTTTTTCTTGAGCTTTTATGGTTGATGAACAACCATGAAATCATATAATTCTGTAAGTATATATATACTCCTGTTTTCACTTTATTATATATACAAAAATATATATATATTGCTTTTGAAGTTCCTATATTTTGGGGTTGAATTCACTCTGACTGAATCAGTTATTTTAGGGCGATTTTGTTTTTTAATTTTGTTTCTGTCAAACGTTGGGGATTGTTAATCTTACGGTCGGTCGTGTGTTTGTTAGAGAAGGTGAAGAAATTTTTTATTTTTTGGAACTTACTGCGGTTTCTATGGTGATGGTCAATTGTGTGTGATCAAAATTGGACACTTTTTTTTTTTCTGTTTATTTATGATGAAATTGTTGTTAAGGGAGAATTTTGGTTGCTTAATATTAGAATATTCACTTGTTGTATAGGGAAAAGATAGGCCTAATGTATAAGTCTAATGGGCTGCTCGTCATTCCAGCAATTGGTTTTGGAATGAAATCTCACTTGGGTTTTGTCTGGGTTTTTCCTATCTTGGTGCGCTTCATCTACCTGGGACAGCACCCGTGTTCCCTCCGTTTCTTACCTTTAATATATGATTAGGCATTCATCTACGTGGGACCGCACCCGTGTTCTCCCCGTTTCTTACACTTGATATATGATTAGGCATTCATGTGTTTATTATGATCAAATTGATATATGATTAGGCATTCATGTGTTTATTATGATCAAATTGATATATGATTAGGCATTCATGTGTTTATTATGATCAAATTTGTTTGTTGGTGATTTGGGATTTGCTGGAGTTATTGGAGAATTAAATGCTCCCACCTTATTTCTCACCTTTAGGGGACACCCACCTTTTACCTTTTTTCCCTTTTTTTTTTTTTTTTTTTTTTTTTTTTTTTCTGTTTGTCTTTATTTCTCACATTTGTCCGAGTGGCCGTGTAGAAACAAGGTGTCGATTAGGCGGACAGCGGCCCGAAAATGATTTAATTAACAAAGCATCGTAACAAGGGACCTTTTTTTGTATTTGAGACTGTTGATGTTAGTGTTTGATTTTTTGCATAGTTAAGAATTTTTACCGACGTCTGATTGTATTTGATGCTCGAGTTGTTGTTTACTTGTCCCTTTTTTGCTTATGTTTTCAGGTTCATTTATCATCTGATTCAAAGAGCAGATCATGTCTTTGCAGCCTCCTTGTCACCATGTCTTTGATTTGTGGTGCTTACTTCATATGCAGTGCTTGGCGTGGAAATGAATTTTTTAGTGTACGCGTTTTGTTTCTCTAACCAATCTACTTAATTATTTCTTATTTACGACAAAGCGTGATTTGAGATTGTCACCACGTTTGTATGTTGATACGTCATGTGTTTGTTAGATGAAATTTGATTCGTGCAGTTTTATCCACGCAGTTATCAATTTTAAAATGTTCATGTTTCATCTTATTACTCGACTCTCAAATGGTCCTTATAGTTTGTGAACAATAAAAAATAACTATTTTTCTGACTTGTAGAGTATTTTCACTAGCATTTTCCTTACTTAAGTTATGAACTTATCGTGCATGATTATCAAATCTGTGTTTGCAGTTGCAGGTAGCACCAAAAACGGACATGGAAGTGAACGTTACCGAAGAAAACGAACCCATCAAGAGATGCAATGTTTGTCCTCCATTTTAATCTTACTCATCCATAATATCTTTTTCTCCTACAGACTTATTCTAACTTAGTTGATCTTAATTTCCGGCATTCAGGACAAATGCAGGCCCACCGGAAGTGAAGCTTTGCCAAGAGGTATTGTATCTGTTACCTCAAACTTGGACATGGTCAGTTTGGCGGGCCCACTTTCAGACGACGTATGTATTACTAATCATTACTGTGGGCAACAATTTGCCGTAGATTTTATATTTTTTTTTTCTTTTTTATTGACGATGTGCAGTATTTTTTGAATCAGAACAAGTCGAAGAAAACGAGTTTGCTGGCCATAGCAGCTGGGATCAACCAAAAAGTATTGGTGAATGAAATTGTCAACAAGGTATTAGTTGTGATGCTTTTTATTTTTCTTTTTTAATCTTTTAAAAAAATAGATATACATTACTTCTTTGTATGCCGTGAATTTGCAGTTTCTGAGGGAAAATTTTGTTGTGATGCTTTTCCATTATGATGGCATTGTGAACGAGTGGAGCGATTTTGAATGGAATGACAGAGTCATTCATGTCACAGCCAAAAACCAAACAAAATGGTATGTTTCGAAGAGATTCTAATACATTTTTTGATTTAATGGATACAATATTCATTAATCATTTTTTGTATATATATGTTTGACTAATGATTAGGTGGTTCGCCAAGCGTTTTCTGCACCCAGATATCGTTTCTGAATACGAGTACATTTTTCTCTGGGACGAGGACTTGGGAGTAGAAAATTTTCATCCAGGAAGGTAATAAAGTGTACGCAGTTAACTGTGGGGAGTAGGCCAAAGTTACCATTGATTTTCTAATTTTTTGTCTTCAATGCTAATTTTTTTGGTATGTATATTTGCAGGTATGTATCTATTATAAAGGAAGAAGGGCTTGAGATTTCACAGCCTGGCCTCGACCTTGGCAAATCCGAGGTGCATCATCACATTACCGTGCGACACCATGGATCAACGGTGCACAGGTCAGCAGAATCTAACTCAACTTTACAAATATTATCATCTGCCTACTTTCTTCATCGAGTATATTCAGATGGCCCTTATTTGATTTATTTATTAATTCTATAAAAACAGAAGATACTACAAGATTGGTACATGCGACAGCAACAGTACCGATCCCCCGTGCGTAGGGTAAGTGTACAACTCTTGTAACTTCCAGTAGTTTTTTCTGATCTTTAATATGCGTAAAAATATTCAATTTGTGCCTTTCAAAACCGGAAAATATATATTTAATTTTTCGTAAGCTCGAAATACAACTGCTTCATTATCTTGTCATTAAATATTTTGTAAGAATTTGAGTGCAGTTGGGTGGAGATGATGGCCCCCGTTTTCTCGAAAGCAGCTTGGCGCTGTGTATGGTATATGATCCAGGTACTCTCTATTTTTCATATTTTTTGTAGTTAGCACTGTAAATACGAATCGATTATATAAACAATAATCAAATATTATTTGTAACTCCTATGTACGATTTCAACAAATTGTCTTGCAAAACGAAGGATTAAAATCAACTTCCTACTCGAATAAATTTGTTTTTTTCTTTTTCTTTGTTAGAAATTTAATCTTAAATCTCCTCCGCAGAACGACTTGATCCATGCGTGGGGCCTGGATATGCAGCTCGGTTACTGTGCGCAGGCAAGCTCTCTCTCGACTAGAGAGTTAAGAGTATTTGCGTCTCGTTTTTTACTTATATTGTATGGGAAAATTAATTTATCCGTGTAATTTCACAGGGTGACCGAACAGTTAAAGTTGGTGTGGTAGACGAGCAGTATATAGTTCATCACGGTCTTCCTACGCTTGGTGACCATTCAACTAAAACTAATGTAAACCAACTTTCTTTTCTCTTCTATTACCTTGAGATACAAGATCTTCACCATTAATCCATATGTCACCATTTTTTTTTACCATAAAATTTATTCTTTTCGGAATTCGCAGGCAAGTTCTGTACCTCCCAAAGTTACCGATCGAATCAAAGTAAGTTCCAAATGTTACTACATTACAAAATGCACCTTGTCAGCATGATATTTGTGAATATGAAAAACATGACTGAATGTGAATCTTTAGACCAAATATCAGTTTAGTTCAGCTTTCTTTCTTTCTTTTTTTGAATAATGTATTATCTGTCATAAATGTTTCAATTTTCGACATTCAATCGTTGGCATGATATCGTTTGTGCAGATTCGGTTACGATCCTACATTGAAATGACGGCGTTCAGGAATAGATGGAACAAGGCTATTAGGGAGGACGAGTGTTGGGTCGATCCCTTTCGAAAAATCAGTGAATAGATATTTCTATTCAACACATTGTCTTCAAGTAACCAACAAAGGCCGAATAACAGCACATGTACAGAGGCAAACAGAGGTATACAATGGCACTTAGTGTACATCCTTTGATGCTGATATGAATGAATAAATATTGCAAGGAGCCCACAAACTCAAATCTACACATGTATATATATATTTGGATCTTTTTTTGTTTTGTTTTTTTTTTTTTT